TTGACTCACGGTTTAATCCCGGTCATTTCATTAATTCTTCGACTTACGATTCAGTCCCAGTCATTTTAATCTTTGACTCACGATTTAATCTCGATCATTTCATTTTTTGACTTGTGGTTCAGTCCCAGTCGTCTTTAATCCTTGACTCGTGGTTTAATCCCGATCATTTTATTAATTGTCAAACTTACAATTCAATCCTAGTCATCTTTATCCTTTGACTCGTGGTTTAATCTTGGTCATTTCATTAATTATCCGACTTGTGGTTCAGTCGCAGTCATCTCTAATCTTTGGCTCACGGTTTAATCTCAATCATTTCTTTCTCTAGCTTGCGGTTCAGTTCCAGTCATCTTTAATCCTTGACTCGCGATTTAATCCTGATCATTTCATTAATTTTTTTGACTTGCGATTCAGTCCCAGTCGTCTTTAATCTTTGACTCATGATTTTATCCCGGTCATTTCATTAATTTTTTTGACTTGTGGTTTAGTCCTAATCATCTTTAATCTTCGACTCGCGATTTAATCCCTGTCATTTCATTAATTCTCTGATTTGCGATTCAGTCCCTGTCATCTTTAATCTTTGACTTGCGGTGTCGTCCCGATCACTTTTTTTTATTCAACTTTAGGTGTTGCCTTAATCGATTCTTTATGTTTCAACTCACGATGTCGCTTTCTTTATCACTTGACCTGACCTGTAAAAAAAAAAATTCATTATTTACTTTTGGACAAAATCGTTGTCTTTATCTTTGTCCTATTCCTGATTCTCAGTAATGTGTAAAGAGACAGCTGTAGACACCGATTTTATCTGGGTCTACTGTTTTAATTTTAATGATAATATTATTATTAATAATAATATTTAAAAATAATTATTAATTATATAAAAATATAAAAAAAATGAAACGAAAAAAAGTAACAAAGAAAGAGAAAAAACAACCTAGATCCCTCTAATTAAAACCCTTAAAAATCTCCAGCAATTTCCCCTTCAAGCTTTAGGAAGAAGCTCTCTCGGATCCCCTCTAAAAAAAAAAAGCTCTCCGACCCCCCTCTAAAAAGAATAAAAAAGCCTTCGAACATATACCCTCAGCACTCTCTCGTTTCGAGCTCAAACACCAAGCCAAACTTTTCTTTCAACAACCTCAAACACCCCCTAAAATACACAAAATAGAAATGCAAAAACAGAAACAAAAACTAAAGACAAACAGTCATCCCCGTAGGGAGAAACTTCAGCGCCAAGCTCCCTGCAAAAGTAAAGAAATCATCAGTGTCTTAAAAAAAAAGGGAAGGAAAAGAAATTGAAAGCTTCAAGCTCCGATCTACGTCGATCGGGGTTGTTTCTGATAAAACGGACTTCAGATCTGGGAAGATCTCATTGAAAAGAGCTTCTGGAAAGGTTTTGGTGTTTTCAACCGTTGGCGACCACCGACGACGGTTGACCAAGCGACGGTTGACGCGATGCTCCGGTGACTGGACGGCGAGACGATCGTACCTTTTCCCCAGAGCTCTCTCCCCCTTTCTCCCCCATTTTTTTTCTAAAACAAACAGAATGAGCTGTAAAAAAAAAATTGACTTTATATAAGAAGCAACAAGCCAAAACGACATTGTTTGAGGCTAGGGAGATCCGTGCGTGGACTGAACCATTTTGGCTTTATATAGGCTGCTGACCGGTCCAATTGAACTAGACTGAATCGCTCTTCAGTCGGTTTGACTGAACCGTGCGTCGAACCGACCTTTTTTCGATCCAGTTGGATCGATCGTTGACCGGTCAGGTTCAGGTAAAAAAAATTTTTTTTTGAATTTTTTTATATTATTATTTTTGTTATTTTAAGTATATTTTTATATTTATGCATGATAAATTTCTAAATTTGTTAGAATAAATGTTTAATTGTTTTAATAATAATAAAATTGAAAACAAATAATAGTTAAAGTATATTAAAAATGTTCAAAAAAATTTATTATTATTATATTTTTCCTGCCTAGATGTTGGAGGGAATAAAAAATATTTTTCTAAAAAATAATTCTGCCTAGATGTTGGGGAATTATTATAATTTTTATAAAAAAAATAAAAAATTTTTAATTAGTTTTCAAAAATTATAAAAAATTGAACTTGCTCCGAAAGTCTGCCTAAATAATGGAGATTTTTAGAGATGTTCGCGTTTTACCTAAACCTTAAACACTAATTTTTAATTTTCAAAATTTTAAGTTTTTAAAACCTCTAAAAATCCGAAATCCCTAAAATTCAAATCCCCTAAAAATCCGAAATCCCTTAAATCCAAACCCCTATAAAATCCGAAACCCCTAAAATCCAAAACCCCCCAAAATTCAAAATCTGAAACTTTTAAACTCTTAAACTCTTAAACCTAAACCCCGTAAATCCAAAATCCCTAAAATCCAAACCATTAAATCAAAACCCCAAACCTCAAAATCCAAACCATAAAATCTCCAAACTTTAAAACCAAAACCCTAAACCTTTCATATCCTAAAATTCAAGCTTTAAAACCCTTTAAACCTTATAACCAAATTTCAAAACCTCTACTCAAACCCTTTAAAATCCAAACTCCTAAAAATCCTAAGGACACGTGTGAAAATTCTATTTGAAGCAATTTGTTCCCGAATGCCGCCTAGATGATGGGGTATTTAGGAAATTTTACTTCATTAAGTCTTTTCACATGATTTTTTAATTTGCATCAACAACAAGATTAATAAATAAAAAGTATAATAGTAAATTGAGATCTTAAATATAAACAGTTGCACTTAAGCTCTGCCTAAATGTTGGAGAGTTAGGGTAGTCTCATTATACTTAAGAATCTAACTTTTAAATTACATTTCATTTTACATAACATTCATTGACATACACACATTAACATGTTATTATTAGGATTTATTTGTACTATTCTGTCTTTAATTTTTATTTGTACTATTTTTTTAAAAAAATTATGATATTACAAAATAAAATAAAAATAACATTTCGAAAAAAATAATTCTTGGTACTCTACCTAGATGTTGGAGAGTCACCAACAATTTTTTATAAAGAGTGCTATTTCATTTTAAGGATTGTTGTGTTAAATCTTAAGCGAAAAGAGTTATTTTAAATTCTGCCTAGACGATGGAGAATTTTAAGATAATTCTTTAACTTAAAGATTTTCTTAATATTTTTAAATAAATATTTTAGCAAAATTTTATTTTTTTAAGTGAAGGGAATTAGTGTTAAATTTTAAATTAAAATCATTTTTATCCAACACAAAAAATAGTGCGTAATTAAATGGTACCAATTTATGGGCGTTCTGAGGGTGCTAATCCTTCCCCACATGTAAACGACTCCCGGACCCAACCTAGTTTTTCGTAGACCGAAATTATCTTTTTGATAAACTTTAAATTCGTTTTTATAATTTTATTAAAAAGATAAACTTTTGGGTGATCAATTACACCCTAACAAAGATTGGTGACGACTCTTATTTTTTATTTATTTTTTTCGATTTTAAAACATCATCTTTTACGTCTGACGGTCCCAAAATCATTATGATAACATGTAGTAGTATAGAGCAAGGCTCTCATCAAAACATCGAAAAAAATTTTTTTTTACTATCTTATTTTGATTGTTTAGGTTTATTTACTTTCAACTTTATTAGAAACTGATTTAAAAATTTAATAATATTTAAATTTATCTCTACCTTAGATAAGGTGATATTTGATGATGATCTAATCTGTTGAAATATATTAACTTTTTTATTTAGCAATACATTTTAATCCAAAAATATACTTTTTATTTTAATTAATTAATAATTAAAATTTTTATTAAAAATGAGTTCTTTTTGTTAATATATATGTGTTACATGATCAAAATCATCCTAAAAATATCGAACAGATAAGTATCGATAATTTAATTGTAAAATTTCAATATCATTATTATCAATTATATTTAAATCAAATATTATTAGAAACATGAAAATTAAATTTGTTAAATTTAGATAAAAAAATTAAGATAATCGATTTGAAGTAAAAAGATGAAATTCAGATTTGGAACTTTTTATGACAACCGCAGTGGATCGCACTTCCCTCATGCCAAATTCTCTCGACTAACTCGACACTCCACACACGCCCACGTGTCCGATTCACTGCGTATATCTTTCAATAAGTGGATAAGGCAAAGAGCTTATGATACAACCAATGGCGCATCTCTCGCCGATTTCTCTATCACACAATGCCCCGTATGGTTAACACGTGTAACATATCCCGCCCGTTCTTATGAAATTCAACTTTAAGCTCTTTAAGGAAGTTCAAAATCTTGCCTGCAACCAAAGTCCCGTTGAAAACGTAATGTTTGCTGACCGCAGTCACCTCTGACGCTAGCTTTGTTTCTCGGACAGCATCTTTCTGTTTCCTACTTGTCAACGCTGGACCACCCAAGTCACCTGCGCCGCGCTGGAGTCGCCGTAGTCCGTCGCGTGTGTAAGGCCGCGCAATTCCAGGAGAGAGAAAAAAAAAAGAGCGAACATTTCTATTTTCTTTTCCGGTGGAAATGAAACTCGGAAAAGGCGAAACGTATTCCATGTGGGCCATCCCTGTAATATTATTTATCAGTACACGTGTCACTGAATAGGTGCCCCACTTGTTTCATTTCAAAGATGTTGGGCCGCCACTTATCGGAGTCTTGACACGTGTCGACTACCAGTGTCCAGATCCTCTTCAAAACGTTTTCCCAAATATATCGCGACGATACGCGAAATTGACTAGACAGGAAAGCAACGAGAAGACGTTCTAAGGAAAGATGAAACGCCAGGTTATACACGTGTCAGGATGGATGCAAATGGTGGTCGGCAACGGGTAGCAACGGGCAACAAGGGCAGCGCTGGGAGCTGGCTTGCCCTGGAGAAGGCTTACAAGTTACACGAGAAATAGAAAATAACTCTACACGTTGCCTTTTTGTCCCATACGTTTCAAAAAAATATTGAACAAATAAAACACTTTGTTAAGCTCTTTTCCCTTTTTTTTTTTAATTTTTGTTCCTTTTTTTTTTTTGGTTAATTATTACATGTTTCGCCTGAGATGATCTGCTATTGTGGTGATCATAAGTTGAGGGGGAATTTTTATTCGATAATAGTCTGTTGGAGGAGATTTTGGTTGTTTATTGAGAACTTTCAATGACCGAGGTTTATAGAAGAATGCTGAGCGATGACGATGTTGATATGCCGGCGAAGTGCCGGCAACGGCGACGAAGAAGGATCCAGATGAGAAGGCTTGCCGTAGTCTCAGCGTCCAGTACGGGACCGCTGCCGAGTCTGGGCCAAAGAGAAGATCCTGAAGAGAGCTCAGATTGCGTTCCAGAAGGGAAGCGACTACGTATGGTGGAGGCCGGCGATCTGCTGGCGACTAACAGTACGTGTACTATTTCAGGCGAGGAGGTTGAACCGACGACTGGGGAGCCCAAAACGGCTCTGACGAACGGACCGGTGTTCGGGACGATGTCGATTTCGGGGAGGTCACGTGAGATGGAGGATGCCATTTCTGTACGGACCAGCCTTTGCCGGCCCGACATTAATCTTAAGAGACCTGTGCATTTCTTCGCTGTTTATGACGGTCATGGTGGCCCTCATGTAAAGTTTTAATTTATTAACACTTAATTTCTCATTAATTTTTTTCCTTCTTTTAAAAATTTCTAAAAGAAAGAGAAGCTTCCAAAAAAAAAAAACGGTGGCGCTGGCCTGTTTGTTTTTCTTTTCCCAAACAGGCGCCCGGCCAGGCTTTTAACTTGGAGCAGGGGTCAATTTGTCATTTTACAATCTGATTTCTGGATATAGCTTTCTAATGGCTTTTTCCTGCAGGTGGCAGCACTGTGCAGGGAAAGGATGCACGTGTTCGTAGAGGAAGAGTTGATGCACGTGAATTGCACGGGAGAGAGCGAGTGTGGGAGAGACAGCAGTTCACAAGGGAAGGAACATGAAGAAAATTGGAGAAGAGTGATGAACAAGAGCTTTGAAAGAATGGATGAGGTGGCAATAAGCGCGTGCGCGTGTGGGAGTGTGGGGTTCCATTGTAGGTGCCATCCATTGGAGGTGGCCCTCCGTGGGTCCACTGCCGTAGTGGCCTTGCTAACGCCGGAGCACATCGTGGTCGCAAATTGCGGTGACTCACGTGCCGTCCTCTGCCGCGGCGGGAAGGCCATTCCTCTAAGTTCCGATCACAAGGTTCGTTTTGTTTTTAGCAAATGTCTTCGAGCTTGATGATATGGGAAAGCCCCCACATTTGGCTGACATCTGTCACTTAAAAAAAATGTATACATTGTAAAATAAGATGATAAATTGTATTCCTCTCTTAATAGTTTTTATCTTAGCAAGAATTGATTTTTTTTTTAAAACCTTTTTAAATAATAAATAGTTGTTTTCATATTGTTTTTCAAACTGAAATCTGAATTTGCTAAATTAAAATGTAGCTTTTGACAAAGACTTAACTTTTCTTTCACTTTCAGCCGGACAGATCAGATGAACTTGCTCGAATTGAAGCAGCTGGAGGTCGAGTTATCTTTGTTAATGGAGCACGAGTTGAAGGCATTCTTGCTATGTCCAGGGCAATAGGTAAGGTTTTTTGGATTGAACAGTTTATGATCATTTTATTTTATTCTTGTTAGGAATCATTATAGCTCTGATACCATTTGTTAAGCTAAAAAGCCTTAATTCAATCACACCAGTGAAAGCATAATCAAATAATTAATCAAACACACAAAAGATAACAATTTAACGTGATTTGGTCTAATTAACTTACATCCATGGATGAAAAACAAGATTCATTAGTTGTAGAGAATTACAAACATACAAATCAAATCATCAACCTCTCAATAATCAATATTCATAAGAGACTCTCAATCTCTTCTAGTCCTACGAAGTATTCTCAATTTAAACAAACACAGATGTATGTGCACCTTTTCAACCCAAATACATACTCATTTATACACATTCATCATATCTATGTGAACCATCTCAGTCTTCTCTAGTCTAATCACAAACATACAAACATACACATCCATAAAATGTAAATCTCCAATATTCCTATAGGGTATCTACCCATAAAATCCTACAATTTTTTTACGTCTTTTTCTCATCTATTTATAAGCATATAAACTTGCTTATTAAAAATTCTCTTTCACTTATAATTCTTCTTCTGCAAGTCAAACTTACCTATTAAGAATTCATCTTCTCTTAGAATTTTTATTCTATAATTTAACGTGGTTCAGTCTAATTGACCTACGTTCACGGATGAGAAATAAGATTCACTAGTTGTAAAGAATTACAAACATACAAATCAAATCATTAACCTCTCAATAATCAATACTCATAAGACACTCTTAATCTCTTTTAATTCTATGAAATATTCTCAATCTAAACAAACACATACCCATGTGCATATTTTCAATACAAATATATACCTATATATACCAATTCATCATATTTATATGAACCTTCTCAGTCTCTTTTAGTCTACTCACAAACATACACATCCATAAGATGTAAATCCTCAATACTCTTATGGGGTATCTACCCATAAAACCGTATAACTCTTTTACGTCTTTTTCTCACCTATTTATAAACATATAAACTTGCCAATTAAAAATTTTCTTCCACTTAGAATTCTTCTTATGCAAGTTTTCTTGTTCATCAAGTAATATTTGACTAATTCCAAACAAATCTCTTATGGGATTTGAGTAATTATTCCCAATAATCTCAATGTTGACTCAAATTCCATCAATCATTAATCTTCAAACTAGACATGCTTGGCTTTACTTGCAATGGAAGTTTCACAATCTTTTTTTCTTGTATGTCTCCACGCTTTATGCAAACCGATCTTTAAAATACGAACTCGAACTTCTTCCTTGAATTAAGCTCCTCTAAGCTTGCCTTTTTTCATGTCTCGAACACAGCTCTGATACCACTTATTAGGCTAAAAAACCTTTATCAAATCACATTTGCAGAAGAGAAATCAAATAATCAATCAAATACACATAAGAGACAATAATTTAACGTGGTTCGGTCTAATTGACCTACGTTCACGGATGAAAAATAAGATCCACTAGTTGTATAGAATTACAAACATACATTAAAACATATCATTCACTCAACAATCAATACCCATAGATCTTCTCAATCTCTTTTAGTCTTATGGAGTATTCTCAACCTAAATAAACATATACCCATATGCATCCTTTCAACACAACAGAACACATACACATATGCATCCATACATCATACCTATGTGAACCCTCTCAATTTCTTCTAGTCCATTCACAAACAAATATACACACCTATAAGACGTAAATCTTTAATAGTCTTATGGGGTGTTTACCCATAAAACTCTATAACTCTTTTACCTCTTTTTTTCATACTTAATCCTGCAGAGACTTCACTTATTTATAAGCATACAAACTTGCCTTCTACAAGTTTTCTTGTCCATAAAGTAATATCTGGTTAATCCCAAACAAATCTCTTAAGATTTGAGTCATTATTTCCAACAATTCTTTCAATTTTGATATTATCATTAATTGAAGTTTGGAAGGTATGGCTTCTGTACAATGGGTTATGTTGTGGATTAAGTGATCAACATGATTCTAAGCTATTTTTCTTATTGCATTACATTATGTTTCTATGTATAATTGTATTTCTACCTCATCACAATAAATTCTATATATTAAAAAAAAAAAAAAAGGGCCTTTTGAAAGCTGTAGATTACCTTGTTTTCCTTGTCATGGATGTGGTTCACTTTTCTCTGTTCTTAGTGTTGGATGGAGTATGGACCTTCAAATTGGGAGGCATATCCATGATGGACTTTGCAGTTTCGGATTCTATTAATTCTTGTATGAACTTTTTTTCCTTGTATATAATATCCCTAGTATAAACAATTAGTTATAATTAAGTATTTGTCTAATATTGTGTGTTAACACGATGGTATAAAACAACCCCCACATCTCTGTTTCCATGTCCTGATCTGAGAGCCATGTTGCTTCTCATTTTGGCACTACCAAACTGAGAGAAACAGTGATTCAGCGGTGTGAGAAAAACCGGTCATTATTTTCGGGGCTGGGCCCTCTGGCCTGGTCACAGCAGCTTGCCTTAATCTCCAATCAATCTTTTACATAATCCTTGAAAGAGAAGATTGTTTTGCTTCTCTTTGGAAGAAATCTGCTGGGGCATTTAAATTATCTCAGAAACCTTTTATGTTCTTACAAATTTTAACTGATGTCTTAGGGTTTCTGAGTCTTCACTTGATTTGTACTAATATTGTTGTAAATGGCATTCCTTCAATTTTACCTTTCATTTGAATCAGTAAAGTTGCTCATTTTCTGTTTTCTTATGTTATTGATTGCATTCAATTTTAATTCTATAATGGCTTGTGGTTGATCTTTGATGATAATAATCTCATACTTCCATCAGGATTCCATCATGTCATGGCTATTACCTTGTGGTGGTGGCTGATTTAGTCAATGCCACCATTAACTTTGGCTTGGGGTTATCACTGGTAGTTTAACTGGAAAATGAAAACAATGCTTAGGGTTTAGGGTTTAATAATGCTTATAGCTTTAAGTTGATTATTATGATCTCCATGAAGCTATATGCCATCTTAAATTGCCCATGGCATGAATTCTGTCAAACTGATTTGCCAGATGGTAGTCTTATGAAGTTCAAGACTGGAAAAATCCATGAATCTCATTCAGATTCATCTTGAATTTCTTTAAGATGAAAGACATTGACTTTCAAACTGTATTTTAGATGCTAATCAAGTTTCTTACGTCAGACAAACTCCAAATTCAGGAATAACTGAAAATAATTGAGATTGAGTAATATCTTGGCAATGTTTAAGACTTTTAAGTAATTTGGGACATACAGATAACTTTCAAAAATTTTCAGAAGGTTATGGAACCACCTCTTTTGTATTGACGATCTGGGACTTGAATTTATTGTTCTTCCTAAATGCTTGATGAAAGTGATTCTGTTCAGTTGTATTCTTTCATCTAGAGGATGCCTATTGCTCCTGAATGGTGCACTTGAAATTATGAATTCTCAATACAGATTCCAAGTTCTTTTATGTTATGCTCTGGCATCAAGTCAAACTTACTCTATTAATTAGTTTCTTGTGTTTCAAATGTTGATGCAATGGATGCTTACTCTTTATAGTTGTGTGCAGGAGACAAATACCTGAAACCGGTTGTAACATCAGAACCTGAGATAACATTTACTAAGAGAGAACCAGAAGATGAATGCTTAATCCTTGCAAGCGATGGTTTATGGGATGTTCTATCTAGTGACTTGGCTTGTAAGGTGGCTTGTGAATGTCTTAAAGAAGGAAGTAATGGTGCTACTGCAGCTGTGTTAAATCTCAATGCAGGACGACCCAATAAAGAAGATGAAGGGGCTGAGAGGCTGTATCCATCTAGAAGTGTCCTTGCTGCTGCATTGCTTACTCGCCTGGCTTTGGGGCGAAAAAGTTCTGATAACATCAGTGTTATAGTTGTTGATCTAAAGAAAAGTTGACAAGAAACAGAGTGCAGGTAACCCAATATTGTTCATACGAACCTTGTTTCATGATGATAAAAGATGCACAGATAGTTGTAGTTGCAGAGAAATATCCTTGCATATATATATATATATGTATATATTTGTATATATATATATATGTATATATATTTGTATATATTTGTATATATATATATATGTATATATAGATGTATATATATATATATATATATATATATGATAGAATTGAGTTGATTCCGGTTTTATAACAGGATATCAAATGTATATACATATATGATAGAATTGAGTTGATTCCGGTTCTATGACAGGATATCAAATGGCGGAGATTGAGAGATGCAGGTGGAATTGCCAATAACTTCATAAGGAAAGGTGTATCTTCTTCAAATTATCACAATATCTGCAGCTGAATCAACAAATGATTCTTCTTGTTTTGGTGCCTCATCAGGGTACCAAACAATATTGAGTCTTGGCTACTTTCAGTTCTTTTTGTTTTAGTTTTATAGTGCTACAAGTTCAATTGAGGCTTTTGGGTATTGAAGATAATTAATGCAATGAAGATTGCAGAACAAATAAAAGGAATTGTCTGGTTGTTTGCGTAGAAATAAGAAAGAACTACTGACAAATTTAGTAGTGCCTTATTTCTTTTGTATAAAGGTGTAGCAGTGTAAATCATCTTTCAGGCACTGCTTGTGGGTAGGGTGGTACTCAAAATTCAAAACTAATTTTTGGGGATTCGGAATATTTGGTTTGTTCTCGGTTTGACGGATTTGGGATTTTATTTTAGGGTCTGCAGTGAATGTCTAGTGGTTGTTAGCTAGCTGTGTGGATTGTGATCAAGGTTGGCAGCTCAATCTGCTGCCAGCGGTTCCGATTTGATTTGATCGTTTTTTTTTTTTTAAATCAAATTTTGGGTCTAATTAGATCATATAATAATAAAAAAAAATTGAGATGGAGTTTTAAATAAGTATTTTTCGATATGATCTAATATATATAAAAAATTATTTTTTAATTGTTTATTTAATTTTTATTTATATATATTTATATAATTATATAATTTTATATTTATATTAAAAAGTAATATTTTATATTTAAAAATAATATTTTATTAATTTTAAATTGAGTCATATATAATATGATTTATGTAATATTGTGTTGAATTTGAATATAAAAAATAAAAAAAAATTTTTAAGCGGGTTTGAGATGAATAAAAATGTTTTGATTTGATCCATTATCATTTTTAATTGTGATGGGATATTGTTAGTGTGGTAGAGTGGTTAGAGAATTAAGAAACATATAATCAGAAAATTTTTTGGGTGTCTAGGGTTTTGGGTATTTAGAGTATTTGAAGAAAATTATTTTCAATTTTTCTTGCTTTTAAAATATTTGGACTTGGAGTGTTCACAAAACACATTATCTTTGCATTTGCATCGGCTGAGGTCAATGTCAACAATTTATATCTCATTTCCGATGTAAGAAAACTACGATGAAAATTGAATTATTGCAGAGAAATATATATATATATATATATAACAAGAAATAAAAATATTAATTATTTTCTTGTTATAAAAATTACGCTAATAACACTTAATTTTTTTTTAATTTTAAGTAATATTCGAAAAATGTTGAGTACAATTTGCAACCTCTATAACATATTAATGGTGATCAGCAAGCAATTGTGTAAGGTACAACAATTTGAATGTTGGTATAGGAGCATTTTACCCAGTCTCATCAGTCACATTTTAAAATTTCTTTCAATTCATCAAATAATATTTTAAAATTATTTGAAATTTATTTAAAATTTATGTAAAATTCACATTTACAAGTGATAAATTTTTATATATATTTTTTATTATAATTAAATTTTTTTATATAATTTTTTATTATAATTGAATAATTATGAAAGTGTAATAAAAAGAATGGTAAATTAATGTCAAAATAATTAATTTATGTTATTTAAGGAAAAAGTAATTGATTTTTGGACAGACTTGGATATTTGGAGTCAATTAAAATGTTAAGCGGTTTGTTTGCGGTCAGCCTCTCAGCTTCAGGAGCAAAGCGCTTCGTAATAATTGCAAAAGTGATATTTTTAAAATTTTAATAATTTATTTAGGGTTAAATTATGATTTTAGAATTTAATATTTATATTTTTTTCTTAATTAAAAATATAATATTAATTTAATTTAATTAAGTATTAAACATTTTTAGATTAGTTCAAATCAAAATTTTTTAATGGGACTAAATTACAATCGTTTTATAAGAGAGTAATTATGCAACGTGCAGGTTCATAATCCGATTGCAAGATTTAAAATTTTGTTAATAAAAAAATAGAAGTCGATCATCAATTTTTTATTTAGTGTGATTGGTTATTTAAAAAAAATTATTTTTTTATTAAAACCAAAAATAAGTTTTAAGATTTATCAAAAAGATCTTTTGGTCTTTGAAAACAGATTTAAATTTAAAAGTCTGATTACTTGTGGAGAAATATTAGCACTCCACAACGCTCATTTAAAAATAGTATCAATTAATAATATAATATTTTTTATATTGGATAAAAATGATTTTAACTTGAAATTTGATGATAATTTTCTTAATTTTTTTTGAAAAAAATTAATTTTTATTTGATAAAATGAAAATCTTATTTAGAAATATTTTGAAAATTTTTAAGTTAAAGAATTATCTTAAAATTCTTCAACATTTTAACAAAATTTAAAGATAACTCTTTCCGCCTAAGATTCACTACGACACTTTTTTAAAATGAAAATAATATTTTTTTTTAAATTATAATTATTGGTAACTCTCTAATATTTAAGTAGAGTATAAAAAATTATTTCTTTCGAAATATTATTTTAATTTTATTTCAAAATTCATATAGTTGTTTGAATAACATTTTTTATGAAAAAATATTTTATACAAAAAAACTGATGATACTATAATTAACGAAAAAATAGTAATAATGAAAAGACATATGCATGTGAAATGAATGCAAACAATAATCTAAAATAAACATATGCAAATAAATATCATTCATGATGATGGGATAAAATTGGCATTATTCATTTTGAAATGGAATTCTTAAATATAAAAAGACAACATGAATTTTCTAACCTTTAGGCAGAGCTTAGATATGACTCTTTAGATCCAAAAATCTAATTTTATTTATTTTTTCTTTTTTTAATTTTTATTAAGGAATCATATAAGAAACTTAATGAAATAAAATCTTGTAAGTACCCCATCCTTTAAGCAACATTGAAGAGTAGATTATTTCATCTAAGATTTTATAAGAATCTTTGAATTTTGGAGTGATTTTGGTGTTTGAATTAGGTTCAAGGTTTTGGGATTTTACTTGTTTCAAGGTTTGGATAATTTAAGGTTTTGGGTTGGATTCAAAGTTATGGTCAAATTTCGGGTTAGAGATTAGGTTTAGGATTGTTGGTAAGGTTTAAGGTTTGGTTTAGGATAGATTTAGGGTTTCGACTAGAATTAAGGTTAACTATTAGGTTTTTGATTTTAGAGTTTCAGTTTTAGAGTCTAGGGTTTACATTTGGTTTAAGGTTTTGGTTACGTTTAGGGTTTAAGTTTAGTTTAGGGTTTTGACTATGGTTAGGGTTTAGGGTTCGACTTTAGGGCTAAAATTAAACTCTAGGTTTGGGATTTGACTTTGAGGTTTTAGGATTTGACTTTTAGATTTTAAAGTTGACTTCAAAATTTAAGATTTGACTTTTGGTCTAGGTTTGACTTTAGGGTTTTAGGTTTTGCCTTAGGGTTTAGGGTTAGAGTTTGACTTTTATGTTTTAGTGTTTGACTTTGGGGTTTAGGGATTGGCTTTTGGGTTTAAGGTTTAATTTTGGGATTTAAGGTTTAACTTTTGGTGTTTAGGATTTCACTTTGGAGTTCAAGGTTGACCTTGGATTTTAGAGTTTGACTTTTAGGTTTTAGGGTTTGATTTTGGGGTATAAGATTTGACTTTTAGAGTTTTTCATGATTTTTACAAATTTCTCCAAAAATCTCCAATATCTAAGCAAACTTTTGAAGTAAGTTTACTTTTCATCACTTTTTTAAAAGGTTGAATTTTTATTAATTTCCTTGAGAAACATTTCAAAATGCAAATGAATACGATAATTAACATGCTTACTAGTAAAATGCAAGTGAATATGAATATATCATAGATGTGCATAAGCAATATTAAACATGAATGAATAAACATTGGATGAGAAACAAATCAAACTAAAACAAATTGATAAAAGGTATATGACAGTACAATGGAAGTAATTAACATAAAGAACTTAAATAAATCATATAAGGGCAAGGAAAGTAAAGTACATGAGAATTAAAAAAAAAAAGAATTAAAAGACATGGGATTTGAAATGCGTAAAATTAAAATAACACAATATAGAAAAATAATAAAACAACTTCAAGATTCAAGTTTTCAAGAGCAAAAAAAAAGTGATTTTTCAACCCAAAACTCTATTCAATTATTCTCATCTTACAACCCAACATTAAAACACAATTTACAAGTTTGAAGATTAAAGAAAATTAAAACAAAATAAAGGAAAAAATGGTGAAAAAAAAAAAAAGTTGCCAAGGGTGGAAACAACTTCTATCATAACTTAACCCACATTGAAAGAACAATTGCAATAGCTTAAAATTAAATGAACAAATTAAAGAAATTGGAAATGGCAATATTATTTAATCGCAGAGAATTAGAATTGAAAAAGGTAGTAACCAAAATAATAAAAACAAGTTGAAAACCATGAATGGCAGCTCCCAAACTGTGAACAGCATAAAAAATTGGCCTAGCAACAACTTTTTAGTGGCTTTGATATCATTCTTTTTATTCCTACAACCTTTTAAAAAAGTTATAGCCCTTAAAGACTAGCTTAAAATTATCTCTAATCCTATATTTTCTAAGTTAAGAAGTTAACTAACAAATAAGGACATAAACATTAAATCCAAAAAATACAACCCAAAAATGATACATATGGCCTCCATGGGCAATAGCAAAAACAAAAAAAAAAAATTAAAACCTTGTTTGGAAATAGTTTCTTTAAACCTTTAAAACTTTCTTAAACCCTTTTTTTTATGCCTTTAAGAAACTTTCAATCTTAAAAAAAAAAGAACTCCTTTCATCACTGGAACTAGCAAACAAATATCAAGAAAAGAGCTTGAAACTCCCATGTGTAGCGAAATGGAGAACCAAAATTGTAATGTACACCAACGAACAACATTTGTAAGCTTAAAAACCTTAAAGAAAACCTTAATCTCTCCTTACAAAAGCTTTTATTTTAGCATCAAATGACATCAAATAAAGAGGAAAATAGAGATTTTGGAACCTCATACATGAAAACCATAAAGAAAAGAAAAAAAAAAGAGCACAAAAGAGTACATTTCTTCCAAAGCTCACTCCTTTCATAAGTTCTTCCATTTTTTGTGAAAATTTTTTTTGTTTTTTTTTTTCTAGAGCCAATAGCTTCCCCATTTAGCCAATAGTTTTTCTTCCTTTGTTTTAGCCCTTAACACCACCATTTAAAAGCTCCCAACCTCTTATAGAACCCTTAGATTAAAGAGAAATCAAGGAAAAATAATTACTTGTCCTTTTCGTAATAATCTTGGTGACCAAGTTTGAAAGGTGGTCCGTAGGATAAGCATCTTTTAAAATCTAATGATCTTTATTAGTTACAGCATATTCTCTTGGCTGTATATGACAATTCCCTCATTACATATAAAATGACAATTTTACCTTTGTTAGTGTTTTAAGTTTTTTTTTTTTTCTATAAATCTTATGATCCAATATTGATTTTCATGATTTTAATGCACCAAAATTCATAAAATAATATTTAATTATGATAT